TGATCAGGCCGGGCGCGTGGGGGGAAGGGTGGCTTGGAGAGGCCGGCGGGGGTGGGGGGGAGGGGAGGGGCAGGAGAGGAACACCTGCCCACTGACGCAAGAATACCCGGAAGTAGGCGGAGAAAGCGTCCTTGGTACGCAGCAGGTAGTGCGTGTCCGGGGCCGGAGGTGGGGGAGGAGGAGGACGGGGGGGAGGAGGCGTTCCGCGGTGCGGCCGGCGTAGGAAGAGGGTGTAGTCACGGGCCGCGACGGGCGCCAGGCGCTCCTTGCCGGTGGCACAAGCAGGAGCGGGGGGTGGGAGGGCAGGTGGGGGATGGGGGCTGAATTCACAGGACGTATGCGGGATAGTTGGGTCCGAGGTGGGTGCCGAGGCTGCCGTGACCAGGGACGGGGGGGCGGGTTCAGGCGATATTCGCCCATCCACATCTTCGGGCAAGGGGGCCCTTGCCATGGACGGACGGCCCTCAGACCGATATGGACTGCTTCCCGGCGACGAAGGGGAAGACCCACGCGTCGTGGGGGCCACGGCTGTCGTGGTGGAATCTGGCTCTGTCCGGGTGGCTGCTGCTCTGGGCTCCAAAGGCGTGCTCCCTCCCGCCTTGCGCGCTCGCTTTCCCATGCCGTGGACGTATATGCTGCCCTTTCACGATGTTAACACCAGTGCATGGCTCCATCAAAGATGCGGCATGGACATGTCCATGTGCATGGAGGCTCGTCTTGTCTCCGTCACTCCACCGCCAGCGGGTGCAAAGTGGGCCATAAAGCTGTTGCAAGCCCTGCTTGTCGCGAGTGGGACCGTGTGTTTGTCAAAGCCTTCATCGCGACACACTTGCGACAACGAGAGGTATACAAGAGATGTGTGTAAGGTGTGAAGGAATAAAAAGTGTGATATTTTTCATTTGGGGAAGGTCAAGCCCCACAGGGTCTCCTTTCAAGCCTTTGAAAAGTCAGTAAGGCAGGTATAATTGTGTACCACGTACAACATTCTTGGTAAAAAATATCACAACCAGGGAGAATTTAAAGACACGAGGGTACAATGAAGGTCCGGCCAACTTGCCGTTTCGCATTCCTTCACTCACATCGCCCGTCGCTTACGTGCCAAGGCGAGGAAAAGTGACGCAGAGCGTGGACTCGAGCATTTTTAGCATGTCCGCCGGTATCAAGGTCACTCGGAGGGCCGTGACGTTGGCGGCGCCCGTGACCGAACACCGCACATTAAGAGGGCCACCGTCGCTCAAGCCAAGACATTCCATGGCCTTCGTACATGCTTGAGCACGCTGATGGGTAGGGGGACCCTTGGTGGCGTGTGTGCCATGTGGAAAAAGGCTTTCAAGCGTTGTCCCTACCGTTGCTCAGAGAAGATCAGTCACTCTCCGTATCTTTCTGGCTGTGCGTCGCCCCGCCCGCTCGATGCTTTGATCAGGCACATGCTTTTCTTTTCTTTTGTAAGTGAACCTAAAGCAGCGGTGTGTATGACGATAAGCGCATGGATAGATAGCTGTGTGTGGTGGCGGACATGCCTTTTTTCCTGTGAGAACGAACCATATGTACAGTGTTCTCCCGTTCCGGCCCAGGGCCACTCGCTCTATCTTTTGGGTACGACAACACGCAAGCAACGTACACAAGTAAAAATGAACCATGATCAGGCCCCAACCTGTTGAATCATGCAGCATCAGCATAGTCAATGGGATACTCTGTTGTAGCTTTGGTCTTCTCAGTACTGAAATCGTCGAGATCTTCGATTGGCCGCTGCGAGCCGAACGGAGGATCGTCTTGACGCTGACCACTGGGCACCATGTTGCCAGAAATAAAAATGTGCCCACGCTTTTACAACATCTTGATTGAAGCATTGGTGTACGATGTGTTATGATGCACGCATTTCTCACGTTTTCCCTGGTTTCATCGTTCCTGCACATGGTTACAGTCACACTCCCATAATCCTTCAGATGGCTCGCCTTTTTGTCACCGTTGCCGCCCTGGTGGCCGCCTGTGCCACGGTAAACGCTTTCCAAGTGCCGCGCATGTCCTTGGACAAGTACAGGAGCGAGCTTGCTGAGACCGCCAAGAAGATTGCTTCCCCCGGTACGTTGGATAGAGGGGATGAATTAGGAAGGATAAAGCCGGGGGCAAGAAGAGGAACGCCTGTGTAACGGGAGGAAGTTGAAAGATCCAAACCCCACCATCGATATTCGAACGACCATGACTGAACGTATTTAATTAATCTAGTGAATATATGGCTCAGAAGTAAGTGCCATCGTGTTGGATGGTTGGGAAGCATGACAGACGGCGAGGCCGAGACTGATCACCGCCCTTTTACTTATCACCATTCATGAGAACCTTTCTCTTCCTTCTCAATGTATGTACACAGGCAAGGGTATCCTGGCCGTGGACGAGTCCACCAAGACCATTGGCAAGCGCCTGCAGTCCATCGGGGTTGAGAACACAGAGGCCAACCGTCAGGCTTACCGAGGCCTGCTCTTCACCACCCCCAAGCTCGGCGACTTTATCTCTGGGGCCATCCTGTACGAGGAGACTCTCTTCCAGGTCGGTACCCAGACGCTCTCTTTGGTTCGGGGGGACCATGAGGAGGTTGTCGTCACGCCCACAGGCTGGCAACTGTCCCGGACCATGCAGGCGTGAGACCCGTTGCAGTCGCTTCGCCTCCGCCTCTTTTCCCACCCCCGAAGGCCTTCCCCGGCAGCCTCCATCTAATTCCTCTCTGCCCGCCCCTTTCCCAACAGAACAACGTGGACGGCACCCCCTTCGTCAAGAACCTGGCCTCCGTGGGCGTGATCCCAGGCATCAAGGTGGATATGGGCCTCTCCCCCCTCCCCGGCGGGCACCCCGTCGAGACCTGGTGCACAGGCCTGGACGGCCTGGTGGAGCGCGCCCAGAAATACTACGCCCAAGGCGCCCGTTTCGCCAAGTGGCGCGCGGTGTTGCAGATCACGTCGGACGGGGCTCCCTCGGAGCTTTCCATCCAGGAGAACGCCTGGGGCCTGGCTCGGTACGCCCGGGCCGTGCAGGAGGGTGGCCTGGTGCCCATCGTGGAGCCTGAGATTTTGATGGACGGCGACCACAACATCGACACCACGGCCCGCGTCCAGGAGCGTGTGCTTGCCGCGGTCTACAAGGCCTTGTCGGACAACGGGGTCTTCCTGGAGGGCTCCCTCTTGAAGCCCTCCATGACCCTCCCGGGCGCGGACTGCGGCGAGTCTGTTACCCCCGAGAAGATCGCTGAGTACACCGTCCGCACCCTGGAACGCCACGTCCCTTCCTCCGTCCCCGGTGTCATGTTCCTCTCGGGCGGGATGTCCGAGGAGGAGGCTTCCATCAACCTGAACGCCCTCAACAAGCGCGAGCGCAAGGGCCCCTGGTCCCTCTCCTTCTCCTACGGACGCGCCCTCCAACAATCCTGCCTCAAGGCGTGGATGGGCAAGGCCGAGAACGTCCCCGCGGCACGCACAGCCCTCATGGCCCGCGCGCAGGCCAACAGCGAGGCCAACTTGGGCAAGTACGTGGCGGGCTCCCAGCCGTCCGCGGACGAGACCCTCTTCGTGAAGGGATACAAGTACTAAGCAAGGAGAGATAGATAGAGGAAAAGAGCAGGGGGAAGCGTGGGTGGGGATGGGCAGGTGGGGAGCGGAAGGAAGGGACCGGCGGGAGGGGAGGGCTGGACAGCGTGGCGTCTTATGGTTCCGTGGAGAGGAGAAGCCTCCAGCTGATTACATGGGGCAGACGATGGATGTGGAGGGAGGGGGGGAGGTCGGGTGGGCCACGGGCCTTATGGAGTGGAAGGCAGGCTTGCGACGGAGAAATGGGGAGAGAGAGGGGATGCCGTGACCCTCCACTGCCCACGGTCGGGGAAGCGAGTCAGAGAACATCTAGGGCGGGGTAGCACTAGTGTGGGAGAATGGCTCGTGACATTTCCAGAAGCTTCCTGGGGCCCGCTTTAGAGTGAGTGGATGTCATCTTGAGAGGGTGGAGTCCAGAGCCTCGATCGCACGTCGAACCGGATTGTCTAGCCCCTCTCTGTGCGACCAGAACGGAGACGAGGAAAAAGTGCCCGTAACAATTGGACTCTGGCGAGATGTCGGTCGGGGCGTGCAGGGGCTATGGCGTCGGTCGTGCGTATGTGTGGTTATGAATGTGATCTATGTGAGTGAGGTACCGTGGGCAGGGGAGGCGAGAGGAAGAGGGGCCAACCGGCGTGGAAGGCCCGGGATGTGTTTGGAGGCTGCGGTCGTCGAGAAGGAACTATCGTCCACTTCCCTTTAAGAGGAGATACTGCCTTGTTTCGTTGCTTTCCTCCCACCTTCACGACGAATTCAACGCTCTGTAGCCGCGTGCTCTACGTTACTCTGTGGGGGGGGGGGTTCAAAGGCGCCTTGGGAACGAGGCCCCCGGCCGTGCTTCCCCCGCCCAAAGACTCTTACGCCATGACGGTTGAGGTAAGCCTTGCACAGGAGGATTGCCATGCAGACGGACCGCAGCCGTCCTTCCTGTGGGACTGCCCGGCTTCCAAACAGATCGCGTGCATCGGAAAAAAAAGAGCCAAGAGGCCAAACCGGCCCCCAAACCCTCCGCCCCCCCCTTTCCACCCAACAACGTGCATAGAACACGTTTCATCACGAGTATGTTCATAGTTTCTTTGACGGTGGCATGCCCTCGCCCGGCGGCCTCTTCAGGCACCCCACGGACCCAACGTTGCCCTCCCGGTCCTCGTGCCCACCATCACCTCCACGGCCAATCCCGTCGTGAACGGCCCCCCTGCACCCCGCATGCCCCCACGTCGAACCCACCGACCTGGACCTTGGCTCCTTCTCCCCTTCTCCCTCCCTCCCCAGGCCCCCCCTGGCGTCTCGACGAAGGCCAGCCTCCCCGTGCCTCCCCCTCCTCCGTCTTCCCCTCCCCGGTGCAAAAATTTCCCCAGTTGCGCCCACCAGGCTGCTTTCTTACCACAGGAAGGCGGCCGCTGCTCCTCCTTCCCTCCATCCCTCCGCGCCCATCCCTGCCGGGCTCCCCCTTTCCCAGGCGGTGCCCCCAACCCGGAGCGCCTCCCAAGCCGACCCCGGACTTGTCTCCCCAGGGCTGCCCAGCCAGTCTGCAGGATCGGACTGTTCACGTAGCCCCTGAATACGCCCTCCCGGGTCGTCAAAGGGACGAGCCGGGGACCGAAGAGCCAGCCACAGACCGCCCCCCCCACCAAACCACCCAGATGCCCAAAGTTGTCAATCCGGGCGCTGCTCATCCCCAAGACCCCGTTGATGACCACCGCCTGGGCGACAGAGCGCAAAGGCCCCTCCAAATTCCAAACGTGCCGGTGCCGGTAGCAAAAGAGCCCGACGGCGCCCAAAAGGCCCGAGACGGCCGTCGAGGCTCCTATGGAAACGGGGGCCCGCCCGGAGACGAAGGAGAGGGCATTGCCCGCCAAGCCGGAGAGGATGTACAGGGCCAAGTACTGCATGGGCCCACCAAAGAGGGGTTCTATGAAATGCCCCAGATTGTACATAGTGTAGGAGTTCGCCATCAAGTGTTGGATGTCTCCGTGGAGGAGCATGGGGGTGAAAAGGCGGTAGAGCTCTCCCCGGCGGATGAGCTGGTCGTTCTTAGCGCCCATCAAGGTGATGCTAGGATCCACTTGCTGCGCGATGAAAATCGCCACATTCAAAGCAAGAAGTCGATTTGTCCAGTTCGACAGGTCGATCCCGCCTTCCCCCCTCCCTGAGAGTCCGCCTCTCGCCCCCCCTTCCCCCGCGGCCGCCATAAGGTTGCCCTCGTCTACCACGCCCACTGGCGCCGTACGCGGGCAGAAAACGCCGCCGTGAGAGCATCCTAGGCCAGGAATGCATCATTGTGGTCGAGGTTGAAGTCGACGCGGACATGCAGGAGCTAGGAGGGGGCGGGGCTGGGAGGACGGAGGAATGTTGCTGGGCATGCTTTATCCAAGCCACCGGGAGCGGAAAGGAATGAGAGCGGGACACGGGCGCAGAGGATGGCAAGACTGTCGACGCAACAGTAGCTATCGCAGCTAAGATCAGCGGCAAGGACATCAGAGACGCCTTCCTGCGACATCGCATGGTCGCCACGGTAGAGGGGCTCCCACCCCTCGTGTTCGTTAAAGACACTTCAACTGCCTACGTTTGTGGAAAGTGTGGGGTGGGTATGAGGACGATACGCTAGGTCATGGTCTGGGACACGCAGTCCACTCGTGATTGAGTACATATACACAATCAGGACACAAAAAAGTCTTGACAAGGTCCTGAAAGTCTTCATTTTTGGAGATTGATATCTTGCCTCCTCCTCAGCGAGGAAAGCGGCAACCTCCTCTATTCTATGTAGCTCCTCGAGCAAAATGCTCGAAGCAAGAGATTGAAAAAGACGTCACACAGTCCGTTGATAGAATAGAAATGTCAAACCAGGGAATTGCAAAGAAAAGCAATTGAGCGACGCGTGGATGTAGCCCTGAACACTTTCGCTTTCGCTCTGATATGCCTGTCGTTGTTACATACTTATCATATAATAATTATGTATCCACTTAAACAATTTGTGCATCTCAACGAAGGCAGGACAAATGGCACAACGCATGGTAGACGCTTTTAATCACTTCGTGGACTTGCACATCGTTCCGAAGGTGCAACCCATCGTCGAGAAGGACCTGGTCCCGGACAGCGTAATTCGCCTCGGTATGTTATACAGGCGTCGATTCTTCCACCCAAAGGCCTACTCAGCCATTCGACTCATCCGACACATGCCCGCTGTTATGTACTTGGAATGCTCGATCAAAACTACGTGATGATTCATTAAGTTTCAACATGCCTCTTTCTCACGTTTCCTTCCGACCGGTCCGTGTATAAATTAACACAGGCATTCGTTCAATGCTACGGGACATGCTGTGCGATTTCAAAAATCGCGGTCTGGAGGGAACTATGACCGCTAAACAGGCCTACGTCGACGAGCTCAAGACCCTGCCCATAGCCGTGAGCACGGGCGCGGCAAATGAACAACACTACGAAATACCCACGGCTCTTTACCGACTGATGTTGGGTCCATGGATGAAATATTCCTGTGGATACTGGCCGAAAGCCGACACGAGCTTCGTGGATTCGGAAACCGAAATGCTGGAACTGTATTGTAGGCGTGCGGAGTTGGAGGATGGGATGACCGTCTTGGATCTAGGCTGTGGGTGGGGCTCTGTCTCTTTGTACGTCGCAGGAAAGTACCCTCGCAGCCAAGTCTATGCCCTGAGCAATTCCGCCACGCAACGGGAATACATCGAAGAGGAATGCAAGAAACGGGGCTTGACAAACCTGACAGTGTGGACGGCGGATATAAACGACTTTGAAGGGCCGGAGGCAATGGCGGGGAACGGGGGCGAGGATAAGTCGCGCACGGGGGGAAATTTCTCGTCCAAGTCTCCAGGTATCGAGGGATACGCCATGGAGGCAGGGGTCATGCCCACCCCGTCGGTGGAGGGCGGCGACGGCGGGAGTGGCGACACCCGAAGGGGGGACGCCTTCGACCGGGTAATTTCCATCGAGATGTTCGAGCACTGCAAGAACTACCAACGCCTCTTCGCCAAGGTGGCAGGCTGGCTCCGGCCCGGGGGCAAACTGTTCGTGCATGTTTTTACGCACGCGACCACGCCTTACCATTTCGAGAAGAGCTGGATGGCTGAGAACTTCTTCACAGGGGGTACGTGGGAGTCAGTGCGGGAAGCGCAGAGGCAATGCTTGTCAGACGAAGGCTGGAAATGGGATAGTGCAGCGATGAATGAGGAGTGCGGCTGTCAGGCTGCTCTGTTGTGACTGACGACATACAAACCCCCCCCCTCCCCCACCACCCTGACTCTCGAACCCCTCGGCTTGACGGCGCTCAGGGCAAATGCCCTCCCAGGACTTGTTCTTGTACTTTCAGGACGACCTAAAAATCGAGGCACAGTGGGTTTTGAATGGAAAGCACTACAGCAGGACAAACGCGGCCTGGTTGAGCAACTTGGATCGACACAAGACCGAGGTACGGAGGGTGACGACATGGAGCATGCAAGGATGCGGCAATGCGGTGGGATAGAACGTGGATATAGAGGGTGCGGTTCGACCGGTTAAGAAAATTTGTTGCTCTTGCCATTGTTTGGATGGAAGTGGGAGAGGGATGCTTATTCGTAGCCCAGGCATTCCTCTCACCCGCGTGCCCTCCCTCGTGACAGGCAAAGCGTTTGCTTGCAGATATTTACGGCCCTGAGAAAGCCACGAAGGCTTTCGTGGATTGGCGCCTTTTTTTCTTGACATTGGTGGAGTGTTTTGCTATCGATGATGGGAACCAATGGGCGGTCAGCTTGTACCGCTTTGTGAAGCCTCTGCCGGGGAAGGGCGTCGATAATGAAGCGCTGGCGTGAAAAAGCTTAAGCTCTCGTGTCTCGAAAACGACAAGAGAGATAACTTATAGGATCATTTACGAAAACATTTGCAGAGATTATATATATAGAGGACCTTTGCTGTCGGGACTGAGATTAAAAAAATAGAAGACTCAAAGACAGGAGCCTCAAGTAGACTCGACGAGGATGAGCGCCAATACAGGGTCCATGTAACAGCATGCATACAATCCCGTGAGGATTGCCGAAACACCCATATGAATTGATAAATAATTCAAAAGCACTCTTGTGAGAGCTGATTCACAAATTTTATTTTATCAGACATTTTTTAGACAAAAATGGAAACCAAAGAGCGGCACTTTTTCTCCGCCAGCCTCACGCCCAAAAATCAGTGAAAGCATCAAAAAAAGCAAACGTGCACGCAGAGATGAACACAGATCGCAAAGAGGCCCAACAGTGTCGACGCTACGCGTTCAGCTTAATCAGCGGAAGAAAAAATGAATAGAAAGCATGCCAGGTACATGGGCCGGAGGTCGTGCGTGTTCTGACACGAAGAAGGGGCGTCGCCACCTCTTCTTCTACACACGATAAACCATGTTTCGACCAAATGAAGCAAAAGTTCATGCTTTGGCGCCCTTGAATCAAGGTATCTCATCAATCGAATTATTCCCTATCCCATTCCATCAGAATATCTCACGCAGGTGTATTTAAACGATTGTAATATCAGGGCATCTAAGTTCACCACGATCCATCATAAAGCGTTCCTCCCTCCTGCATCAAGACGACTATAAGGCGGTTGGTTTCGCACCGGCAGCTTCATAAAAAAGTGTCTTATGCCAACAACACGGTCAACTCATAATGGTCATTATCGTACAATGCAAACAGCCACTTCTAGCTCCTACAGTGAGCAAGAGGGCGGGGACGATGATTTCAGCGTCAAATACACCTCGCTCCGTGACTCCCCCTCTTTGTCACAAAATCATAGCTCGCCCCCGCCCGCCACGGACAACAGTATGAAAGACTCCTGCACCGTTAAGGGCTTCTCCAACGGCAGTAAATCTTCCGGCTTATCACCTGAAATGAATTCTCCAGCTGCGGGACCCAATGTCTCAAAACCACGTCGCACATATGGTTCGATTATGCATGCCATTATCATCTGTTGGCTGGTAATAGCCATGTCCTTCGGGCTCAACATTCTTAATTTTCTCGTGTACTTGACGGTTCGGCCCTGGTCCCGGAGGACGGCGCGACGGCTAATAGGAAATTGGTTCCAAAGCATGTGGGTGAGTGTCATGAGTTATCTGATGCCACCCAGCGAACTGGTGCTCAGCGGAGACGTCTTCCCGAAGACGATGGACTCAACCCGACCCGCCATCATCATCGCCAACCACCAAGTGGACGCGGATTTCTGGTACTGCTGGGAAGTAGCCCGGGCGCACCAACTACAGGGTCAGCTGAAGATCATCCTCAAAGCGGAGCTGTCGCAAGTGCCCGTGGTGGGCTGGGGCATGCGGCAATTTGAGTTCTGTTTCCTGCGTCGGAATTGGGAGCAGGACCGGCGGGGTCTCACCCGTCTGCTTTCTTCCTTTATGGAGGACGGTTTGAATTGTGCCTTGCTCCTCTTCCCCGAGGGCACTACCATCAACACGGAGTCCTTGGCGAAATCCCACCGCTTCGCGCAGCAACAGAGCCGGCCGCGCCTAAAGCATCTCCTTCTTCCTCGGTCCACAGGCTTCGCTGCCTGCCTTGAAACCATGTGCCAGTCGTCCACGGCCCCCCCCCCTTGATCTACGACCTGACCGTCGCCTATGGGGGGTATTCTGGCGAGGTCCCGTCGTGGGCGATGGGTTACGGGCGGGACCGGGACGTGGGCGTGCCAAGCGTGGCGGAGATGGTGCAAGGCCTGATCCAACCCCGTGTATTCGTGCACGTCAAGACCTACCAGGCCGACCATCGCCTGCGCGAGGACCCTCAGAAATGGTTGGACGCGCGGTGGGGGGAGAAGGACGTCCGCCTGGGGGAATTTATCAAACACCAGGCGTTCACCACGACCGAGGCCACCGAAATCCTCCGTCCCACGGGGAGCCGTCTCACCCTCGTCTTCCTTCTCTTCCTGCCCCTGATCCTCACCTGCCTCCTCCCTGCCCTCATCCTTCTGACGTTGGTGGTGTGGCCCCTGGTCCTGACCGCCGGTACCGTCCACTTCCTCGCCCTCCTCTCCCGCTCGGCGCTGAAGGCAGCGGTCCGATCGGGCGGCAAGGCCACGCAAGGCCCGGGCTTCGGCCTTGGTTTTCCCCCGCCAGCAGCCGCTTCCCCTCAACAACCGTTCCAGGGCGGTCGGAGTTTCGGGGACGGGGAGGGAGGGCAGGGAGCGAGGGGAAAGAGAGTCGGGGTACATGGAAGTCGTGAACCTGGGCCCAGGGAGGCACCCAGGCCAAAAGCCCAGTCGGAGAGGCCACCACCCCCTGCCGCGGCGGCCGTTCCGTCGCCGTCCCGGGCCTTGACGGCGCCTCCCCGCCGGTCACCGAGACGACTACCAGAACGGTCGCGTGACTATTGACACTCGTTCGCGAACGGCGAAGATGGCATGGGGGTACATGCACGGGGCGGTTGCTGAGTGCCTTGGAGGGCCGGGCAAGCTTCCGAGCGACATGGACGGTCCTGGAACGCCATTGCAGCGGCCCTTTTCAGATTGGTGCAGGTACGAAGAAGGGTGTATTCACCCTGTGTGGCTTGGATGGGTGGCGAGGAAAAGGTTTGGCAACTGAAAAATGCGCGAACGACGGAAGAAAAGGGGAAGCAAGGGTATTTCCCCCCCACGCCGTCTTGCACGCTTGTCCTTCTCACGGGAAAGGCCGCTCCTGGATCATTTGTGAGGGATCCAAGGCGGAGGACTTAACTTCGGTGTGTAAATACCGCACAAAGGCGGCGACTTCGGTGCGAGGAAGATGGGAGAACGGGGAAGGACCTGTGGGCGGGAGCGTGGCCTCGCGTGGAGTGCGTACGATCGAATTCTAGCGTGTCCGCTAGGAGGGCTTTCTCAGTGAGGGCTAGGAGGGTGTAAGCAGGACCCAACAAGGGAAGAGCGGTGGGAGACCAGGATGGAGGGGTGAAAAGCGAGGCGTTCGATGTAGGACGCCCGTGCTTGTTGTTCGAGACGATCACGGTCAGAGGCAGTGGGCAGCAGAGGCGGAGACAAAAACAGTGGGAAAGGGGTGTTTCAAAGTGGACGAAAAGAGTGACGCTGGGAAGTTCCGTCTCCGGAGCTTGCGAAAGAAACTGATTGCAATCAAACTGCATGGGCATGCCACAGGTGAATACTAGCTCTGGACGTGGTTGTTTTTCGCTTCCTTAGCCCTCTCTCTTTCCCCCCCCTCCCTCCATCTTCTCTCCCCTTCCCTCCTCCACCCTTCCTATTCTACGGCCGCTTCCGCTTCCTGTCTTCCGCCCCGGATAGACTCGATTCCGAACCTGCGTGCGCCAAACCCGCCTGACCGTACATCCCCCCTCCCCCCGCGTGCTGCCGCGACATGGAGGACTGCCCCTTGCGGTGTTGCATTTTCTTTTGCCCCCCCCCCCCTCCCCCTCCCCCCCCGCTTCCTGTCGAGCCCATCCTACCGGCGCCTCCCCCCGGATAGCCACCCGCCCCGGCCCCACCCTCCCATCGCTCCACGCCAAGGGCCGCCTGTCGCCCAAACACTTCCTGGGCCTCCCCTCCTCCCTTCAATCCCTCCAAGAGTGCTTCCCGCTGCCTCCCCAGCTTCTGCACGGTGAAAAGCTCCACCATGTCCCGCCGGAGGGCGTCGTAGAGGTCACAGACCGTCTTGGTGGGCAGGGGCCGGGGGGCAAGGCCCAAGTCGCTCAAGAGCTGTTTGACTTTCTGCAGCATGCCTTTCTGCAGGCGGGGGGGCGCCGATGGGGACGGAGAGTCGGGCCGATTGCAGGTAGGGATGCCCGGGTTTGGGCTCGGGGCGGGCGTCGTGGATGTATTTTTCGTTGACAAGGGGAACCGTGCGGCCCTGGGAGGACATGCCTGGACCGGTGGGAGCTGGGAGGGTGACAGAGGCAAGCCGGGCCTCCGCAGGCTCGCGAATTTGGCTCTTGACCGGAACTTTCTTGACACGTCGAAGCGCCGCGTCGATGGCCTTGAGCTCTTCGCGGAGGCGAATCTCCTAAAGAGGGAAGGCAAAAGGGAAAGAGGAGGGGAAAAGGGTAAGCAGGCAGCAAGAATACACCGGACAAAAGTACGAGATCATCAAGCCGGTATGCCTACCCAACCGCGTGGACCGAACCCCTCCACCCCCTCCGCCCTTATTCGTGGCCAAGCCCTTCATCCCCCCTACCTCCAGTTCCTCCTCTTTCGTGCGCTTGAACAAACGCGCCAACTGTACCCGCCGGGTCTTCTCGTACGCATGGTCAAAGGCGTCCCCGTCCTCGTCCAGCCCCGGCTGAAACATGGGAGGGGCAACCGTCCCACCCCCTTGAGCCGCCACTGTGGCGGCTGCCGCATGACGGGCCAGACGCAAGGCTTTGCGCACGGAGTAATAGCGGGCTTGCAGGTCCTCAATGGAGCGGACGCGCGGTGAGATGGAGGCATCCATCACGGCGGCTTCTCCTTCCTTCCCTGCCTCCTTGCTGCCTTCCTTCCCTTCCTCCCTCCCTTCCTCCTTCCCTTCCTCCCTCCCTTCCTCCTTCCCTTCCTTTTCCCCTTCCTCCTTCCCTTCCTCTTTGCCTTCCTGCCCTTCAACCTCCTTCTGTGCAGGCTCGCGGGGTCCCCCAGGCGACCCTGCGACGGACTCAGCGACGGCATCAGGAAAGCGATCATATATAATCGGCCACCTAAGGTCAAAGCGTTGACATAGCTCCAATAGGACTCTCGTTTCCTCTTTGCTCCATCCTGCGCCTTTGCCACCCTCAGCCAAACACGTCTTATACTCCGCGTCCGTGAACTCCACCGCAGGTGTCTGCACATTAAAGCGTGCGAAAGGGTAGTCGGGGTAGTCTGTCGCAGCTTTTACCCAGTGATAGAAGATTCCTCCTTTGCGCGTGCCGCTATTCTCCCCCTCCTTTCCTTCCTCTTCTCCTCCCTCGGGCTTATCCTGGTCTTTTCGTGCTGAATTTTTGAAAGTTGTCCAAATCCATCGGGTCCGCGCTGTGCCCTCCCTCTTGTCCTTGAGTCCTATCGCCTTCTTGCTCACCACAACCGGGGCCATGCCCTCTTTTCCGATCAAATTGAAGACTTCGCGGCTCATCCCTGCAGGTTTCCGTTTCCCTTTGTTCCCTCCCGCTCCCCCGGTGCCGCCTGCTTTTGGCCCAGTCTCCATTAGCAGGCTTTCACGCTCAGAGACTTGAGGTCGACGGGCCCCCCCTAGAATATCTGCAACATCCCCCATTTGCTTCCCCTTCGCTTGCCTGCACGAAGGCCGGCAAAGTTGCGTGGAGGAGGTCTGAGCGCGAAACAAGGAAAATGAGACCGTGCGTTATATACGCCTGGAAAGAATCGGTTTTTTGTGAACAAAGCATGACACATGTGTTTCAAGAAAGAAATGAGCATCTCAATGAGCAAGACAACATGGTGTTCACGCACCTGCCATCGGGGCCTTGGGCGCCAACAAAGGCAGGAAAGGCATGATGGAGGAGCGGGGAGTCCTTTCCTCCGGGTGACTTTGCATGGCACACGTACAAGAAGAGGGAGAGGAGGGCCAAAACGGAAATAACGAGACTCAATCCCATTGGTGTGTGGAGCCACGCTCATTGATTGATATCATACTGGCTTGTGACATAATTATGGGTGTATTGACACGGTGACTTACGTACAGTCTTCCTCTTTTCTACATTTTTCTCCTCCGGCCTTCACTATTCTCGGTTCCTCTTCCCACCCTTCAAAGGATAGGAAAGCCGCATTTCTTGCGCTTCCCCTTCCTCCTCTGCTTCCTAACTACATCAGCCAGGGATGATTTAATGCCTCCGCAGCCGTGGGTCGCTGGTCTGGGTGAATGCTCAGAAGCGCTCTAATGAAATCCAAGAAGAGCGCGTCATCTGTACGGATTCGGGCAGCTAAATTACTCTTTTTGGGATGGAGCAACGACACCGCTCCATCTCCTTCCTCATAGCCCCCTACTCTCCCTTCCTCTCCTCCCTCCCTGCGGTACACGACCAGGGCGCTTGTGAAGTACTTGGTGGTTTCCGTCCCAAAGAGCAGTAAATCCTCAGGAAAGCTGCCGAGGATAGCTTGCATACGCGCCAGCATGCCCTGAATGTTTTCGCTTTGAAAGAGCACGTAACCCGTGAACAACTCCGCTAGCACGCAGCCGACGCTCCAGACGTCGATCTTCCCGTTATAGGCTGCCCCCAGGACGACCTCGGGCGCCCGGTAGGATCGGGATTGGAGGTAGGAGGTGGGGGGGTCGCTGACGAAGCAGGAGGACCCGAAGTCGATGAGTTTGACCTGCGAGGGGAAGGGAAGGGAGCATGGAGGAGGATTATGGCCCCCGAGTCGATGTGACCGGAGAGACGGAAAGGGGGCGTGCGAAAGGGCGCGTGGGGGAAGTTTCCCAAGGGCTTTCTCGGTAAGCCAAGCTCTCCGTGCCCTCCCCTCGCATTGCCGCTCAGCAAGCTCAAACGTCTCCGCTACCATCGTCCCTCTCTTCCTTTTCCTCGCTCCCCCTCCCTCCGCTCTTCCCCCCCTCCCTCCCTTTCCCTCCCTCTCCCCCTACCTCCACCCGAGAGTAGCTCTTGACCACGATGTTCTCCGGCTTCACGTCGCAATGCATGAGGCCGCGGGCGTGGACGAAGGCCAGGGCCCCGAGCACCTGCTGGGCGATGGCGCGGAGGCGGGGGAGGGTGAAGAAGGCAGGCTCGTTGTTGAGGCGGCCGTAGCGCTGGACGTCGTAGAGGTTCTCCTTCAGGAGCTCCGAGACCAGGACCAGGTGCTCCTGTGAGGGAGGGAGGGAGGGGTTGAGAAAAGCCGCGAGGACGCGGGCCACCCCGTGACGGCCCCTGCCTCCCCCCCTCTCTCCGCCGGCTCCTGACCTTGTAGTAGAAGAAGTCTTGGAGGCGGAGGAAGTGGTGCTCGTCCGGATCCCCGGCCGGCCTGCAGAAGGCGCAGCAGCTTGATCTCATCCAAG